TAATCTATAAATTTATTATTAATATTAATGTTGAATCGATTGATTAATTTATTAATCGTTTGACCATTTAAACATTTCGCATAATAGAAGTAAAGTAGAGATCTCTCTGAAATGCAAAAGGGCGTAAACTGGTAAAGCACTACATAAAATATGTGAGAGAATGCAGCAAGAGTTACAAACAGTAATATTTATGGCAAGTCAGTCTTATGAATGTACCATGAAGGACTTATTTTAACCTTTGTACCATAACCAGCGATTGCTAGTCAATGTTGTTGATATTAGACTAAAATCTGTGTAGTGTCTGACACTTACTTTGTGAAACTTCTTTCATGAATCAAAACACAGGTTAACAGAAAAAATACATTGCTCTACAAGGCTTTGATTTGATACTTTTTTTGTGATTTACCATAGACTGCTGCAGAAACAGGTCAGTTGTCAGCTACACAAAGCATTTCTATGGGAAGACAATCACAAGCAACATCAAGTGATTCATCACAACAGTCTTCTCAGCAGCAGCCTGAAATGGAGCAAGGATTTCTCCCTAAAGGCTGGGAAGTTCGACATGCACCTAATGGGAGACCATTCTTTATTGACCACAATACCAAAACTACAACATGGGTAATGGAAAACTGCTCTCATAGACTGAAATTCCAGTTCCTTTCAAGTCAAAGCTTTGCTGCTTTCAGCAAGCTTGTGTAGATTTCTTTAATGCCAAGATAGCTGTGTCACGTCCCTTAAGGAACATATGTAAAAGAAAAATGTGAAGTCATTTTCATTATCTGTCATGAGTAGAACATTACGAATTTTACAAACTCTATTGGTACTTGAAAGTTTAGCTTGGAAGGAGGAAAATACTGATGTGTGTAGGCATTTGTTTTGCAGACATAAAACATCTTCTACATGACGCTTTTGTCAACTATAAAATAATGCTAACTTATATGTCCTGTGAACAGCAATCAGTTTTGTGAACTTACCTTCTACAGGAAATCCATTCCCTTGAATTGTCACATGGTTCAGTGCACAGTGCAGATTTCTGTGAAAAGCAGGCCTCATCCAGTATGGATGGGGGAGTTGTACAGCTACAGTTCCACAGAGTGGCACTGCGCACCACTAGGCACTGCTTGTGGACTTCAGCATTTACAGAGTACGTCTGTATTGCTGTCAGTGAATGAGAAACAGAGAAATGCATTGAACTGATTCAAAATGAATATTCATTTCTTTAGGATTGTGGAAAGACCTCATTTTACACAAACACCTTTCCCCTACCTACAGAATATATAGGCTACAGAATATGCAACAACTATCTAGATGGTACTAGGCATATTCTTTACACAATCATTAATAAAGATGAAGTTTTTAAAAGCAAAAGAACAAAAGGATTTTAACATGCTGCTTGTTTTGTTTTCAAAGGAAGATCCAAGACTGAAAATTTCTGCTCATCCAAGGAGAAAGACTTCCCTAGATCCAGTAGATCTGGGCCCATTACCAGTGAGTAAACAATTTTAAACTTTTTTTGCAGATATAACAATTTAACTACTTAGGTTAGTCCTATCGAAACTTGCACATGAGAAGATGCAGCCTGCTTTTTTATACAAAAAGTACTCTATTTGGAATTCCTGTGCTGAGGGTAGATGGAAAGGAGGAATGCCTCCAACTGCAGATCATGCTGAGTTCTATGCAAACTGTACAGTCAGAAATTTGTAATAAAAGTGTGTCCTTCTTACAGCCAGGGTGGGAAGAAAGAACTCACACAGATGGAAGAATATTCTTCATAAACCACAGTATGTACTATGTAGTGTTCGCCCACTCATTTTAAATCTGAACATTAGCTAAATTAGTAGAACTAATTAAGAAATGTCTTGCAGATACAAAGAAAACACAGTGGGAGGATCCTCGACTGCAGAACGTGGCAATAACTGGACCAGTAAGCTTTCGTTATGTGGCTTTATGTATTTTCCAAGAATATTGTTAATAGAATTCAAACAAACTTGTCATTTATCTGGTATTTAGTCTAGAAGATGAAACTTCCAGGGTGTTTGAACAAGGCATTTTAATTTCTTGATTTCAGGAGTGTTTAGAAAGCTTTTGGTGGAAATGTTTTTTAAAATGCCAGAAAGAAAAATCAGTTTTCACAGTAGTTGGAAAGTTGGGGGGGGGGGCAGGGATTGAAGCAGATAAGAAATCTTATTTTTTATCTGCAGTGTCCAAAATAAATAAATTTTAAAAAGAAAAGAAAAAAGAAAAAAATCTTTGAAAGGAATTAAATTAATTTCCAACTGAAAAATAATTATCTGGCCTTGATACTTAATCTGAAGTGCAAAATTACCAGGACTAATTGCAAAGACGGTACACATTATAATTATAGATGGGTTTTAGTGTTCAGCTGATATCTGTGTTTATTAATAGCCCACATATGTAAACAACCTTCTCTGTCCATGGAAAATAGAGGTGATTGTAGCCAGGTCTGTCATGATACAGCAGGGAAAGACTATGCGTTATGTAAGTCACTGAAAGCATTTTGGTCACTTTCATCTGAGTCAGTCAGTGATCTTATTTGCATCACCTAATAGTACAGTACAGGATAAATTCTATGGAACTGATCAGAACAAATGATCTGAACAAAGAAGTACTTTTCATTCCAGATGTTTTGAACTATCTGTATTTATAAACTGAAATCTCCCCTCATACTTAGTAAAACATATATTCCTGTTTTCTCAGAACTTAAATGCATTGTCTGTTTTTCACAAATATAGAGTAGTTTCTATTACATCAATTGTTAAGAGTTATCTCAAGCACTTTTTTTTTCTTTTTCTTTTTTTCTTCCCAAAGGCTGTGCCTTACTCCAGGGACTATAAGCGGAAGTATGAGTTCTTCAGAAAGAAATTGAAGAAACAGGTTAGTAATCAGTAGGAATCCAGTAGAAGGTTAAGAAACTTACAGCCCTAAACAAAGGAAAGGTTAGGTTACAGTGAAAAGAAATTGAATGTTGTAACCTGCTTATGGCAGGTAAGTTTACTGTCAGATCACAAATACATTTGTGAAGCAGTGATTTGGAATAAGTAATGTTTATTTGAACAATAGAGTTTGTGGCTTTATACAGTGATGAGACTGAAAGTGATCTAATCGAGAAAGTAGAAATTCTAAAAGGTTAAAATAACTCATGAACTTGGAAGTAGGCTGGCAACAGGAAAGTTTGGAAATCCCTGATCTAGCATGTTAGTTTCTGGAACTCAGCACATGGAAATAAAAGTTCTCAGAATAGATTTTAGGCTGTCCAGATAGAAATATGTACTGTCATCTTGATCAGGCTAGATGACTGCAGTAAATTCTTACAGCTTTAAAATCTTAAATTTATGAATCTCATTTGCAAGTTCTAGTTTGAAGTGGCAGTGCCAGGTATATTTATAACACGTAGCATAAAAGACTGTAAATAGCATCTGGATATTCAGATAACAATGACTCTCTGCAGAACTGCAGTCGAATTTGGTATCCTTGGGAGATATTTTGTATATATAAATATAGCCTTTGAGTTTAGACCCATAGTTCACCTTTTACCTACCAAGTCTGTCTCTATCCTGTCTCTGTGTTTTGAACTGACATGTAAATTGCATGCAATTATATGCACCTCACTTTTTGTGTTCCTAGTCAAACAAGCTTGGCATTCATTCAAATGTCATTATCCTAATCTGAGAAGTGATAGACATCTTAGCCACACAGTGTAATTGTAGTCATTAAAGAACTAAATACACACATAGATTTTAAAGCATAGGTTACTATTGCCTTTTAAGCATTCACAAATACCTAAACGACAATTAGGGCTAGGGACTGATTTATATTGAGATTTAATTATGGAATGCTATTTTAGTCAGCCAAGTTTGGTTTTATTATTCCCTGTAAATAGACATATGATACTGTAAAATATTTTGCAACAAATAATGTGCTCCCCCACCCCAAGCAATTATTCTTTGTTTATAGTTTGGATCAAGCTGTTGTTGGATATAAATAGGCATTACATTTAAATGCAGCATTCTAGGTGGGGTTTTTTGTAATTTTAAGGGAGATTATTTAAGGAGTATAAGAAAACAAAAAGGAAGTATATCCTAACGTGTGCTCTTCAGAGTGATTTATTAAGTACTTCTGCATTCAAAAATTCATTATTTCTACTCAGTGTGTTCTTTGAAACTTGAAATATATTGAGTTTCATTGCATCATCCTCATCTAGTCGTAGAGCAGCACGAGTTGAGATTTCCTGTTCCCACTTTCACTGAATTTCTCAATTTTGCTTGAAGGAATTGCTGAAATAAACTGGATGAAAACAACCAAAATCAGGAAAATACTCTATTCCTATATAGTGATTTAATGATTCAACAAAGTTTTACTCCTGGCTTATAAGGGACTTACTCTGAGTGGGTTGGTTTGTTGTTGGTTTGGTTTTTTTGTTGTAGTGGGGTTTTTTTTTTTCATTTGTTTCTTTGCCTTTTCTTTTAAATCAAGCTTAAATTATGGTGACTTTTCAGTGTTAAAAAAGATTGCATGCCTTGGTGCATGCAGAACAACTGAGCATATGCTGTTACTAGTAAGAATTTATTTTAACCCTATTTTCTTGGTATGAAATAGAATTTAGTATCTGAAACTCTCCATGCATGTTGTATGGAAATAGAACCTTATGTCAATCACATCGTGTTATGTTTCCAAATCCTTTAAGTAAAGGATTTGCGTGCCATTCTTTGTCTGTTTATAGAATTTGCACACTCTGCAAGACTAGAAGATGCTGGATTTTATTCGATCTTCTCTTTGTTTTTTTTTTTTTTTTAGAGTGATATTCCAAATAGATTTGAAATGAAAATTCATCGCACAACAATCCTTGAAGATTCTTATAGAAGGATTATAGCTGTAAAGAGAGCAGATTTCCTTAAAGCAAGACTTTGGATTGAATTTGATGGTGAAAAAGGTTTAGACTATGGAGGAGTGGCCAGGGAATGGTTCTTCCTTCTCTCTAAAGAAATGTTTAATCCTTATTATGGATTGTTTGAATATTCAGCAACGTAAGTAATACAGGTCTGGAAGACATGAAAACTAGTTTAGTTAGGGAAAGTACATCAACTGTATTTCTCATGTCTACTCTAAGAATGGAATTACTCCCCTCCTCCCCCAGCTGCATAGGAGGGTTTAGTTATTTACTGCAATATTCTGCATCTAGTAGAGACAGTACCAATATTCTTGCTTTTTCAGCAATCTAACATAAGCTGTGTCATCTTTGCATAGAGAGGCATCTGCTTGCAACCATCTATCTACTACTTACAGAAGAGGCAGTATTAAATAATGCAGAGAATGTTATTCTGACTACTTTAAAAACAGTAGGGGTTAAACGTCTTCTCTTTGGTGTATCTCTAACTTACGAAGGTAGTTCACAGCGTTTCAAAACTGTTATTTATGCTGTGCCAGTAGACTCTTATATTGAATATTGTTTAGTATTAGATTAGCGATTTATTAATCCAAATATGATTATTTTTTCAACTTCATGAAAATAATATCTGATGTAAGCAGTGATGTCTTTCAGATCTTCAAATGTGGGACAGTTCCAATAGCACAACATTTTGTTTTTCTTTCTCTTCCCTGCTTCTTCCCTCAACTTCAGAGATAACTATACTCTGCAGATCAATCCAAACTCTGGACTTTGCAATGAAGATCATCTCTCTTATTTCAAGTTTATAGGTCGTGTAGCTGGAATGGCTGTTTACCATGGCAAACTTTTGGATGGTTAGTATTTATTTTATTTAATATACTATGTAGATTAATATTGTGGGTGTTTTGAATTTTAAGTTATGTACTGTTCAATTTATTTGTTCTTCTTTAAAGCCTTTTTTATTCGTCCTTTTTACAAGATGATGCTCCAAAAGCCAATAACACTTCATGATATGGAGTCTGTGGTATGTAGTTTGCTTTATCATGTATGTTACAATTAGATGTTCTTTTTTTATATATTTTTTTATATAT